TTCAAAGCGAAAGCCGGTGTATGCCTGTATGTTCGGGCGGATGTTTGTTGTCGCCGTCTCCGCTGCTTGGAAGATCCCTCCTTTTCCATGCTGGGGGTACACGTCGACTCTGGCCCCCGGGCCAGAGTCTACGTGTGCCTCTACAGATCCCACACCGGCGATGTTGAGACAACTCGACTTTTTGAACACCTTAGTCGGGCAGCAGATGACGCGCAGGAGCGATTTCCCAATGCAGAATTGGTGTTTTTGGGGGACTTTAATGCTCACCACAATTTGTGGTTAAGTTCTTCCAAAACTGACCATGCAGGGATCTCTGCTCACACATTCGCTCTCACGCATGACTTGAAGCAACTGGTTGATCAGCCCACCAGGATCCCAGATATTCCAAGTCAAGCGCCTTCTTTACTGGACCTTCTGCTCACGACCCATCCACAGGGCTATCAGGTTGTGGTAAGAGCCCCCCTGGGCTCGTCCGACCACTGCCTGATATCTGCCAAAGCACCACAGGCCAAGCCTCCGCGTCCAGCAGTGGTCAAGCGCCGTATCTGGCATTATGGGTCGGCAGATTGGGACGGTATGCGTGATTACTTTGCGTCCGTCCCTTGGAAGCAGCGCTGCTTCAGTGACAGGGACCTATCGGGCAGTGCCGTTGCCATTACTGAGGAGATTATAATGGGTATGGAATACTATATTCCTCATTCTGATCTCATCAGTAAGGGCACACGTAACCTCTGGTTCAATCACGACTGTGCTGAAGCTGCTTCGTGTAAGCAAGCGGCATATCGTGCTTGGATCAGAGGCCGCGCTCTCAAGGATCCCGGGGTCGATTCACTCAAAGCAGCCTACAATTCTGCTTCCAAGGCCTGTAAGAAGGCTTACATCAGAGCGGATGCCCAGCGTGTTGCACGTGTTGGCCAGGAACTTATAACGCATCCTGCGGGCTCCCGTAGCTACTGGCGTTTGGCCAAGGCCGTGCAAAAAAACTTCTGCCAGCCCTCGCTGCCACCTCTGAGATGCCCAGACGGAACACTAGCTCATAAGCCGCAGGAGAAAGCCGATTTACTGGCAAAACTCTTTGCGGCTAACTCCCGAATCGATGATTGTAATGCACTGCCACCATCATTACCTCACTGTGGCACAACGATGCCTGATATTAAAATCAGGCAGCGTGAGGATCGTGCCGAATTGCAATCACTCGACGTCCGGAAAGCTAGTGGACCTGATGGCATCCCAGCAGTATATTGTTTTAAACTTTCATGGTCACTAACATTATAGATATTAACGGGATTGTTACCATGTACCTTGTTTTTTATGAGTCTCCGATATTTCGGCACTGTTGCAAGCGCCATGATCACGGAGTAACTGAAGTAATTGCGGGTAGATGTTATTGGCAGACATATCGGTCTACCCTCTGACGTCGTCTTTTACTGCGTTCGATACTACCACTACCATTGGTCACATTCTCACTATTCACTCGCATTTGTTCCCGGCACACAATACTCACAGTATCAGATCGCGGAACGACACTTTTTTGATTTTTGCGGTTTTTACACATACGAACCACTGGATTCCACACACTAGACAATTTAAACCCATCCTCACGATTGAAATTCTTGTGTTTGGTTATTTCAATCGCTTCCCTGACCAATCTTGGTATGTAGTGGCGTTCTGTCGAGATAATTTGTGGCTTATGGAGCTCAATCCAGTGATTAGGACCCGAATCAATTAAATGTTCCGCGATGGCTGATTTTTGCGTATCATTATTTCTGACTGCTTTAATGTGTTCTTTCATTCGGCACGCTATTTTCCGCTTCGTTTGGCCAATATAAGAACTACCACAGCTGCAGTCGATCTTGTATACACCAGGTTTCTCCAAGGGGAAGTTATCTTTAGGAGACCGTAGAATCTGTGATACTTTTTGTAAAGGAGTGAAGACAGTATTCAGTGAGTACTTATTAAGTATGTTAGAGATCTTGTCTGTCACTCCTTTGACATATGGCAAAAATAGTGGTTGCCTGTCTACTTTGTGTTTCTGGTATCTTAATTTGTGTTTGGGTGGAAACTTTCCCTTGTATCCGTTATTCTGTAAGACCTGCCGTACATGCTCCAACTCTTCGTGCAGGTGTTCCTTGTCACATAAGTCATATGCACGGTTCGTCAGTGAAGTGACTACAGAATTTAGATGTTTAGGGTGGTGATGCGAGGAGGCGTTGACGCTTGCAACAGTGCCGAAATATCGGAGACTCATAAAAAACAAGGTACATGGTAACAATCCCGTTAATATCTATAATCCCAGCAGTAGTACTTAAAAAATGTGCAGCGGAGTTGTCTCCCGTGCGTACGCGCTTGTACCAATGCTCGTATTCTTTGGGGCGTGTGCCGGAGACTTGGAGAGATGCTAACGTGCAACCGGTGCCCAAAAAAGGGGATCGCTCAGACCCGGCAAACTATCGGCCAATAGCAGTCACCTCAGTTTTATGTAAAGTTCTAGAAAAGGTCCTTAATAACCATCTGACCCGCTACCTGGAAGATCACTCCCTGATTAATGATCGTCAATATGGATTTAGACCGAAACGATCGACGGGTGATCTTCTAGCGTACTTAACTCATATCTGGGGTGAGGCTATCGACAAGCGTGGCGAGTCGTTGGCTATCAGCCTTGACATTGCCAAGGCGTTCGACAGGGTCTGGCACAAAAGCCTTCTCTCCAAGCTTCCGGCATACGGTCTGCCAGCCCAGTTCTGTTCTTGGGTAGCTGACTTCCTGCATGAGCGTAGAATTCGTGTCCTTACGGATGGTAGCAGTTCGCGGTTCATGTCAGTGAATGCCGGCGTTCCCCAGGGCTCCGTCCTATCCCCCACTCTCTTTCTGCTGCATATCAATGACTTGATTCCTCTTGGGAATATTCATTGCTATGCAGACGATAGTACAGTGCATGCGGGATATCTCGGACAAGCAGCGGCTGGGCAGGCAGTAACCAGGGAGAAACGGGAAAATCTTGTCATTGAACTCAATCAGGCTTTGGACCACATTTCCGAATGGGGTACCAGGAACTTGGTTGGGTTCAATGCCAAGAAAACTCAGGCTTGCGCTTTCACGGCAAAAACATCGCCATTCCTTCCCCTTCCATCTCTTCAGGGCACAACACTACCGCTGCAGAGCAACATTTCCATGCTCGGTATGGAAGTTCGCTCAGACCTGAATCCAAAGGACTACATCGAAACCGTGATCAAAACAGCTTCACGCAAACTCGGAGTCCTGAACAAGGTGCGGCGTTTTTTCACGCCCGATCAACTGTGCTTGTTGTACAAAACGCAAGTGCGGTCCTGCGTGGAATATTGCTCGCACCTCTCGGATGGCTCCGCCAAGTACTTGCTCGATGCTTTGGATAGGTTACAGCGGCGCGCAATCCGCATCATAGGCGATGAGGAGGTGACTAAACACCTTGAGCCTCTTCAATTACGCCGTGACGTGGCGTCACTAAGCGCGTTCTATCGTTTGTACCACGGCGAGTGTTCTGAGGAGTTATTCTCTCTTATCCCACCTTCCCCTTTCCTTCAGAGGACCACGCGCGCTGGCCTACGTTGTCACCGTCTTACTGTGGCCACAATTCCAACGCGTACAAAGAAATTTGGTGACTCATTTCTTTGTCGCACTATCCGTAAATGGAATGCTCTGCCCGCTCACGTGTTCCCTCCCTCTTACAACCTGGGATCCTTTAAAAGAGGCGTGAAGAAGCAACATGCAGGCCGGCAGGGTGAGGATGGCTGGTGTGGCAGGTAGAACTGCTGTATCAGCTATCTTCGCGGCTGGACTTCACCTTCACTTAACATCAGGTGGGGTGGAGTCATTTGTCGGACCTATCTATACAAAAAAAAAAAAATACAGTATTGTGACTCGGCCCTGTCCTTGAAATAACTGCCTACGGCCGAGCGGGGCGTTATCACGCGGTAGGGCTGCCCGTCTACAGTATTTTAATTTCATCTACATAATTGAGTTTATTTCTAGTTTTGTGATTGTAAATATTTTATTTTGAGTTGTAAGTAAGTAAGTTATAAGTTGATAGTGGTTTCGATTCTGACGTGATTCTCTAAACTTAAAACTAAATTTAACATCAATCTCTCCTTTTCATTCCTTAAAGAGAATGACAAGGATACACTGTTGTCAAATTTAAGTTTAGGTTTAGAGAATCGTGTCAGAATGGACACCAGTAAAACTCAAAAGTTTATTTTATTCTTCTTAGAGCATTTAATTTTAATTTTTATTTCACATAAATTTAACGGAGAACGGAGCTTAACTTGCATTCGTTATCTCCTTTCATAAGTCCTTTCATTTGATACCCATATTGTATGAGTGCAATGAAAATAACTAGTCCGCCATGTTGGATTTAGAGTGACGTCACTTTATTACTAATAAGAAGTAATAATTATACCATTCGTAAGTAATAAAAAATATATTTTTTCATAAAAATTGCTATTTGTTTTGAATCTTATTCGGTAGTGACGTCGAGTACTGGCCGCGTGATTGGTCGTTAGTGCAGTGACGCGGATCTCGCCGTCCCGTTCGCGCGTATCTTTACATGATCTTTACAAACAGGTGGATGTGTGAGTGTTGCATATGTAGTAAAGTGGGATCAAATTTTTAATGCAAGTATGAGCGTACCGTATCTACCCTTTTTGTTTTAATCTAAGTTAGAATCAGCAAAAAATGTGAATAATAAAACTGAAGTGAGGGCAATGACTTCATTCTCATTTGCCTCCGGTGTTAATCCCACGGGGGCGCCTCCTGGGAATAAAGGATGTCCAAATATCAAATACGAATAGCCAAGAATACGAGTGATTTAAATTGCATTCGGATTCTAGGTTGGAACGCTGCCTTGGGCTACGTTCGAATCCTACGCTCTGAGTGCAACTTTTTACTTTGACGTTACAATTTTGATATAAAATTTTAACTTAAATTGGAAACCTTTGTCTGACATTTGTTGCCCCTGCAGCGTAGGTTTGGAACGTAGCCCTCCTGTTGTATTCAATGAATGGGTTTCTCGGTCTTTGATTTTCCTTTAAATATTGAAGATTTACTTTGTTTTAATTGTTCACACAACTAATAATGTCTAATTTCTCACATAAACTTGCGTATATTTAAAAATGCTGGCTGTGTTATTGATGCACCACATGACTACCAATAGTAAAACAAATGGAAAAAAACGTCCCAAGTCCAACAAAATTGAAATCCAATTGGAGCCACTACCGACCTCGGATGACCCTGCGGACGCTTTCTGCAGGACCTGCCTCAGCAAGGAAGATCTGGTGCCAATATTCTCCAATAAAGATGCAGAGAAAAAGAGGTCGCAGGATTTGAACTCGATCACCGGCCTTTGGGTATGTTTTGTTTTGGTAGTGTAAACAATGACGATTTAAGATTCGGGTTGCCGGCTGACGTTTATACCTTGAGATTATTTATAACGTAGTAACTGTTTTATGTGAATAATTTTTGATTTTGCTTAGTGTTCAGTAAACAAAGTTTTTAGTTGTAATGTTTATATACGTTTATCAGAATTTTAGCTTATATTTCCAATCTGGGTGCAAGATACCCACGGAAACGTATTTAGGAAATTCAAACAAAGCGCAATTATGATTTGTCAACATAAAATAATAAAAAAGTATAAGTAGATAATTTATAAAAACAGCTCATATAGGAAAAATTAGAAAAAATAATTCATACTATTTCATCTCATTTATCCATCTTTGTTTTGGTCTACCTCTATTTCTTTTGTGTCAAAGTCCATTCCAAGTAGTCACTTTATAAGAAGATGAAATTCACAATGTGGCTGGTAGAGACTGGATCACGAAGGCCAAAGATAGAAAAAATTGGAGTCAAATGGAGGAGGCCTTTACTCGCTGAGGGGTCCATAATAAATATAAAAATGTGTATTGACAATTTTTTTTAAATTATAATTGACATGTGTGTTATTGATTGACCTAATATTATTGGAATTGTACTGAATGATTGACATTTATATTTGAAATTTATTAAGGAAATAAAAAGGCTATAATAATAATAATAATTCATACTAGCTGTACTCTTCAATCTAGCTTGTATCTGTCTATCTATGAAATTAATGATATTTATTTTATTGAAGTGAAACTTCTTTATCGGCGTTGGAAAAAAAATTACCGTCACATTTTTTCGGTTACGCGTCACGTTTTTTGGTTACGCGCCATCTTTGTTTTAAAAGAGCACTATTTACCTCATCCGAACAATTGCTTCTTCTGTCAACTTTAAAAAAAAAAAAGTATCGACAGCAAATATTCGTGTTTCACACAAGGTAAGGTAAGGTAAGGTGTAGTTATACCCCTTTAGTGGGTGAGTTTTTGAAAAATCTTAGCGCACGCCTATATATATATTTCTGGAAAGTTGCATGTAGATCATTTTTCGAAAAAAATAAGGCCATAAAGAAGTTTCACTTCTTACGTGTGTACACTAGTACACGCACACATTTTTTTATTTATTTAATTCACCACAAACTTAACACAGAAGCATCTTAAATGTAACAAATAGTTTAATGTACTGTAAATTGTGTAAACAAACCACCAAGGGCAGATCCAGAGGGGGGGTCATGGGGGTCATGACCCCCCCTGGGCTGGGTCCATCTGTACCCACTTCACAATCTGTACCCATTATGACTTGACCACGACTATATGACCCCCCCTGGCGCCAAAGCTGGATCCGCCTTTACAAACCACCTTGTCATAACATTACAGATCAGAATGGGAGATGGCTTATCACAGAAGATCTGTAGAAGCTGCTTAAACAGCTTAAAAGCAGCTCTACAATTCAGGCGCACTAGTCGTAAAGCAGAAAAGACTTTATTGGACATGCCTTCGAAGGATAAACCAAAAAAGAAGACTAAGATTCGGAAAAGAGAGATTAAAAATGCGAAAGTAAATGTGTACGATGACTGCGATGATATGTTTGATGCGTACATGGATCTGGGCAGTAACGATTGCCAAAACGAATCTAGTTATGATAATAATTATGATTTTAAAACTGAATCTTATGGGGAGTCAAATGATTTGACCGTCCCCGATATAGTTACAGAAGATAAGGATACTAACAAAAATAACGTGAGTATACATACAACTACACCATATTATCTTTTTTTATTGCATATTTTTAATTGTTATTAGAACGTCCAGGCCCTATTAACGAACACCAGTGCTTTAGTGGCAGAATGCTTGCCTAGCTGCAGCCATGGTCTGATTACCAGTTCAAGGAAGACTTGTTTTTTTTCTCATATTTTATAATCCAGATTAACATAAACTATCGCTAAGGTGATCAAAAGTTTTTTGGTGCGGTGGCACAGATCAGTACTTTTTTTTTTTTTTTCTGTGTGTCTGGAAAATGCCTTACGCATCCTTCAACCACTGGGGGAGCGAGAAGAAGGTATGTGGGACTCCTCCCTGTCCTCTTCAGCCAACCCTGGAGCTCGCTGATGTGAACAGGGCCCTACCTACGCCCGGTCCCCCTAGTGCATGCCGAGAGGGCGAGTGTGGTCGCGGAACCCGTCTCCGAATGGCCGCGCACCCGCACAGATCAGTACCCTAGCACGAACCAATATCAAATAGGTAATGTTTGCAAGTATGAAATGTCATTGTGAAATTTTGTATGGAAACTTGAACAGCAGCGCCACGACAGACGTAACGAGAACTAAAAATCAGTACACATTTGACGTATAGAAAAGATTGAATTCAACTATTCGAATTTGATAATGGTTTGTGCCGAGGGAACTTAGGCCTATGCACGAATTTTTGGCAGCTCTGAAACGTATAGCCATCGTCAAATTTTGTATGGAAAAAGGTAGCTAAACAAGTTAAGAACAAGATCTTACGCCCAATAAGGGCACTGTTTAGTTTTCATATAAACTGAAGATGCAATATGCTATGGAGAGATAGCAAGATAGAGAACCATTTATTGACCAATAAAAAAACAATCGTTTAAAAGTATTGTAAAAGATTTGACCAAAAATCTTTGATGAGCATGTTGAGTTGCGTTTTCCGCCATTAAGAATGTAGGTAACCTTTCATCATCATCATCATCAGCCTATTAACGTCTCCACTGCTGGGGCACAGGCCTTCCCTATGGATGGAATATGGAGATTGGGCCATGACCCACCACGCGGGCCCAGTGCGGATTGGTGGGTGCTGACGACTGCAGATGCAGCCGGGACCAACGGCTTAACGTGCCTTCCGAAGCACGGAGGAATTCGAGATAGTATATTTTTGGTCACTCATCTAATGACCGACCACTGTGAAAGTTGCTTAACTTCAACGATTGCAGCCGAACGCGCTAACCACCCGCGCCATCGATCTCCTCTAATTAATATCGGTATATAATTACGCCGTTAGCATCTAATGTGTATGTACATAATAAGTTTCTGTAGTTGGCCTAAAGACATTAAACCCACAAAAAAGCGCTGTAGAAACTCTGTTAAAGCTAAATAAATAAATAAAGTACAAACAGCTGAAATAAAAACATATACAGTATTGGTCACATAATTAAAGACTCTCCCTAATTGACCACAAAAAACTTACTTATGGTACTAAAATTAGCTAAAATTGGTATTTAATCTAGTATAATTGTTATTAAACTATACATGACGTTGTATTCTTACAATATGGGATACAAAATAGTTGTGTTTGTTATTAATTTAGACACTGCTCACTAAAAGCTTAAAAAGAAAGTGCCAATTGTTAGCATCTGTGTTTAGAATGAATATGGGCAGGGGTTTTTACTATTTTCACAAAAAATATATTCATAATTTTACTAAAAACCCACGAAAAAGATAATAGATTTCTTATATACTGTCACGTGACCCAAAACGCTTGGCATTGGCGGAGCCTAAAACGACGTCACACGCAAGTAAACTTCCGGTTAAAGTGACATTACATGGTATCGTTTGACGTTTTAATAACAGTCGTGTGACGTCACACAGTAGTAAGTACTTGAAAATGGAGTTTTTGATTTGGTTATTTTTACTGAAATACACAACAGAATGATGAATATCCACTTTTTACGGACTCCATAAACATAAGTCAATAACGTGAGATCTTTTTCTAAAACTTGTCAAATACCCTATTGGGAGGCATTATAGGAAAAAAGCAGTACATGAATGGAAAGAGCTGCAAGAAAAAACAGCAGATGTAGAGGTGTACTTTTTCCGATTTGCAAATCAAATCAAGATTTAGCCAGTAACAAATGTGTTTCTGTGGCTTCTGTCGGCCCTTAAAGCTCGTTTTTTTAGACAAAACATATTTATTTTATTATAATAAAGGTTACCTCAAATTATTTTATTATAATAGAGGAGCTCAAGGCGCAAGTGATTATCGCGTTCGGCTGCGATCGTTGAAGTTAAGCAACTTTCGCAGTGGTCGGTCATTGGATGGGTGACCAAAAACATACTATCTCGAATTCTTCCGTGCTTCGGAAGGCACGTTAAGCCGTTGGTCCCGGCTGCATCTGCAGTCGTCAGCACCCACCAATCCGCACTGGGCCCGCGTGGTGGGTCATGGCCCAATCTCCCTATTCCATCCATAGGGAAGGCCTGTGCCCCAGCAGTGGGGACATTAATAGGCTGATGATGATGATGAAAGGTTACCTACATTCTTAATGGCGGAAAACGCAACTCAACATGTAATTTAAAAACGAAAATCGTATTTTAAGAAAAACAGGACATCTCTTGTAAGATCGGGAGACCTTTTTTTTGTGTCTGGGAAATGGCTTACGCATCCTTCAACCACTGGGGGAGCGAGAAGAAGGTATGTGGGACTCCTCCCTGTGTCCCCTTCAGCCAGCCCTGGAGCTCGCTGAGGTGAACAGGGCCCCTACCTATGCCCTGAACAGGGCCACTAAAAAAAAGACAAAACTCCTGCACTTAGATTAAAACAAAATGGGTAGATACGGCACTAGCCTCACAAAAGTGATCCACATGAATTGTGGTCCACAACCCTAATCTCTTTAGTCACAACTTGACATGCAAACAATGTACATGTGAACGCCAAAAAGAAATATTGCTAATATTTTGTGTTTATGTGATAAAACAATGCCTAAGTGTGTTTATAAAAAGTGATCAAGTTGCTCAAGGACTTAAAATAACACCCACGGCATCACTTTTCATTCGTAAGTACTATAAAATATATTTTTTCATAAAAGTTGCTGTTTGTTTTGAATCTTATTCGGTAGTGACGTTGAGTACTGGCCGCGTGATTGGTCGGTAGTGCAGTGACGCGGATCTCGCCGTCCCGTTCGCGCTGCCGTAAGATCAGTTTTTGTTTGATGCAAGTATGAGCGTACCGTATCTACCCTTTTTGTTTTAATCTAAGGGGCGGATGTGGTCGCTGCACCCGTCTTCGAATGGCCGCGCACCCGCCAGATATAATCGGGTGACCGTGGAGCAACCTTGCTTGAAGAGGGCCTCTGTCCGCCATCGCTGCGCGCATAATGCATGATTTACATACTGGATAATTGCTTGTTCATTTTTAAACATCGCAATAAGTTTATCCGTGTTCAAGACACACATAATATTAGCACTCGCAACAAAAACAGGCTGTATATACCTCCTTCACGCATAAAGATGCTAATCACCAGCCCCTATCACATGGCTATACAAATATTTAATAAATTACCATCACAAATACGGGATGAACTCCTTATATTTCACAAAAAATTAAAAAAATATTTAACCGATGAATGCTTCTATTCTATCGAAGAATACTTTGATAAATTTAATTAATTTGTATTGTTTTTTTTTCAATTGTTTTTGTTTTGTTAAATTATGTTAAATTTATAATAATTAATTTTATAATTTTATAATAATAAATGTTTAATTATTTGTTATACCTGTACAAGGTGACTAAGTCAAAGATGCTATGTATTATGTTTAAGAACCGTATGTAACACTTAATTTGCAAATAAAGATTTTGAGAGTTTAAGTTTGATTTTAATCTGCGTTGTAATCGCCTAAGATAAATCCTTTAACTCCATATAACACTTCTCAGGCACAGCCAACAGTGAAGAAAAGGCAGCCCGAAATACCAAACGCACCGTCCTACGACTGCCCGATATGCCACAAGCAGTTCAACATGAAGGCAACTTACAAAGCTCATCTCCGGTTCCACACAAACTATTGTATCTGCGAGGTAAGCGCTACATTTCAATCAAAAAGTACAAAATTTTAAAATCTAAAAATCAAATCAAACTCATTTCTTTGTCGTACTATTCGTAAGTGGAATTCTTTGCCCGCGCACGTGGTCCCATCCTTCCTACAATCTGGGGTCCTTTAAGAGAGGCGTGAAGAAGCATTTTTGCAGGCCGGCAAGATGAGGATGGTTGGTGTGGCAGTTTATAACTTCTGTACCAGCTATCTTCGCGTTTGGACTCTATCACCACTTAACGTCAGGTGGGGTAGAGTCATTTGCCTATCTGGCTATATTAAAAGGAAAAAAAAAACAGGCTAAACGAATTATAAATTATGTTTTTATTTTTAAAAATTTAACTGCTAGATGTTTTGAATCTAAAGAAAAGTTTACTAGAAAAATAATCCACGCGGACCAGGCAGCAGACGGGACTCGAACCCGCACCCTTCGCTATCCGAGCGAATGCAATGACCATTATGCTACTTGGCGAATCGAATTTTATGAATTGTGGGTTACCTATAATGCGAAGAGATGGCGCTGCATTGCAGCCTAAGGCTAGAGACAAATTCGACACGGCCGTCAGGGCCGCGGTAGCATAATGGTCAGTGCATTCCCCCAGATAGCCAAGAGTGCAGGTTCGAGTCCCGTCTGTTGCCTGGTCCGCGTGGATTTTTTTTCTAGTAAACTTTTCTTAAGAATTATATAAGTTCATTTAACATGAATATTGGAAGCGATTTTACTATTATTTTTTATTGGATTTTATATGCCTTTAATAAACAATTATGATTATTATTATTCCGACAAAAGAAGTACTTGATAATATTACTTAAAATCATGAAACAGAAAAGTATTTTTTTTTATCAATTTGTCACGTGACCGAAAATGCCTAGAATTGGCGGAGCGTAAAATGACGTCACCTGCTTGTAAACAACTGTCGAAGTGCCATTACTCTATACAGTTTGACGTTTTAATGAGAGCTGTGTGAAGTCACCTGCCTGTAAACACTCGATGTTTGCTAGAAAACGTTTCTGTGGGGCATATTTGAAAACCAAAATATTTTTTTTACTGATATTGTACGGCACGCCAGACTGGCTTCGTTAGCACACTAATGCTAACGGCTACAGATATTGGTCAAACGATCTAAAAACCGACCATTAGGAAATAAATAAATATTTCCAACACTCACACCAATTAGCCTAGCCCCGAAGTAAGCACTGTAAGGCTTGTGTTATGGGATACTAGGGTAACGGATAGAATACATATACAGTACATATATAAGTATATTTATATAGAAATACATATTATACATCCATGACTAGAGTACAAATGCTCGTATTTATCACACAAGCATATGCCCCCACCGGGATTCGAACCCGGGACCTCTCGAGTCGGCGACACCATGAAACCCGGCGTACAAACCACTCGGCCACGGAGGTCGTCAGGAAAGTGTCTTATCTTACAAAACTTAGAACTTTTCCTTGCTGTAAGTGATTAATGGAAAAATATATGTATTTGTTTCTTAGGTTTTCACGCACATCACTCATTAAATAAAACTAGTTTTTACGGGTTAATGCACGAAACTTTATTTATTTATTGACGTTTCGCAGCCTTTTCAGGTCTGCATCGTCAGAATAATGATTTTTTATTTAAAATTGTCGAGCTACCTTTGAAAGACTTATATTGAGCGTTCGGTTATTTCGTTGGAAGATTTTTAAAATTTTATTATCTATTATGAATTTATTATTTAATTTACTTAATAAAGTATTTTATTTAAAATTCTTGTTTGTAATTTTGAGTTTATTTATTTGACCCTAACTACCGTAAACTACCACCGTGTTGAGGACAGCACGTTGATTTATAATATACTATATAGTTTAAGTAAAATATGTAAATTAAAAGAATTATTACGAAGTATTTTCATTCCCCATAAATTAAGAGTAGAAATTATAATAAAGATAGGTAGAAGTAAGCCAAAGATTAAATGATTTTGAAAGAGGTAAAACATTATTTTCCCTAAAAACAAGAATGTTAGGTACTACCGGAGAATGCTCGGGCTATACCGTAAAGAGGCCCCCGGTAGTACCGGCGAATACTCGGGCTATACCTTAAAGAAAGCCGCTTATGCAAAAATTAGGATAATTGTTAATTTAATATTGTAATAATGTATATTTAGGCATAAGATATGATAAACTCATTATTGTAAGACTGAGCATCGAAAACTGAAAGAGAAACAGACGAAAAACAAAAACCTTATATAGTTCGTAAGTAGTTCCCTGAGAGAAAGTAAGGGACAGAGCATGAAATAGGAAAGAGAGGGCAATAGTCTTGAGATAAAAGATAGGCCATTTGCATAAATTAGATAAGGAAGAAAAAAGTCAATTGTCTTATTGGAAAATCAATCAAAATAGAAAGTCTAATTGGATAATCGATAAATTTAATAACTATATAAGGCGTCAGTTTTTGATGGTCAGGGTCAGTCAACCATCGACGGATGTACCCAGCAAGAAAAAGGAAAAAGGAATAAATAATTGAAAACGTCGAAGAGTAATCATTCATACAGTCCACTACATCGTTGGTACTTCGCAGCCGGATTCAAGAGTACACCGTGGATACTTCGGAGCCAGGCAACGGACCGAAGACAAACTGCGATCTACGAAGCGCAGTAAGGCTGGGGGCGGTCAAGATCCGGATGGGCGACTCCTGATTGCCGAAGAAGAACAGACCCTAGCAAGAGGGCTGTTGAGCGGTACGCAAACAGGGCGTACTTCGTGGACGGCCAGAACCCGGATGGGTGACCGCTGAAAAAGACCCGAGCAAGAGGGTCCTGCTTGTACGAGAAGATCCAGATCACCGATTGCGGACCGGCAACAAGGGCGGTCCAGAACGGAGGCCTGCCAACCGGAAAGTACGCGAATCGGATGGGTGACCTATACCCCACGTACAAGCGAACAGTGAATAGTGCTGCGGATTGGAACCGGATGGGTGACCGATACCCTACGGTTAAGTGAACAGTGAATAGTGCTGCGGATTGGAACCGGATGGGTGACCGATACCCTACGGTTAAGTGAACAGTGAATAGCGCTGCGGATTGGAACCGGATGGGTGACCGATACCCTACGGTTAAGTGAACAGTGAATAGTGCTGCGGCTTGGAACCGGATGGGTGACCGGTACCCAACGGACAAGTGAACTGGATCACAGTGCTTCGTACTGGATTTGGATGGGTGACCGATTCCCCATCTACAAGTGAACAATAAAAGCAGTACAAAGGATTTAGGCAGTGACTAATAGTGTTTAGGAATAGTGTGTAGGATAATAGGCAGTGACTGAAAAGTGTGTAGAAATAGGCAGTGACTGAAAAGCACCTATTTAGGAATAGTGTGTTGGTTAATAGGCAGTGACTGAAAAGTGTAAAGGTATAGTGTATAGGACTTAATAGACAGTGACTAACAAGTGAATTAGTGAACAATGGTAGTGACTAGGAGCCAAGGGGACGCTGTCGAACTAGAGCAACAGCGCATCGAGATGGAGCGAAGAAGACGCCTCTCGTTAAACCCACCAGCGTCACCAGCCGTCATGACGGGTACGACGACACGTGACGAAACAACACGTGAGGGCGTTACGGGAGCGACCACATCAGGGCTCACCATGGGAGACCGGCCGAGATCACCAGCGCAGTCGCAGCGATCCACAGCTAGCGCCACGACCAGGCTGAGACTGGCGGAGCTAGAGGCTGCAGAGAAGATGGCCAATATTCGAAGAAGGGAACTTGAGTTGGAGGCCGAGCTGGTGAAGAAGCGATTGGCCGTTGAAGTGTCGGTGATTAACGACGAGAACGAGAGTGTACAAGAAGAAGTACATGACAACAGAAATAGAGTGGACGAGTGGTTATAAACCACACCACACCATGAGAACAGGCAGTTGCGATTCGACGTACCACGCGATTCGCAGGCAGTTGCGATTCGACGTACCACGCGATTCGCGCGATAGATCCCATACACCATCAAGAAAGAACGGGATAGAGCAGTTGGCTGAGACATTGGAGAGGATGGCGCGACCCAGACTACGGCAGATGGAACTACCGATATTTACCGGGGCCGTGAATGAGTGGTTGACTTTTAAGGCGGCGATGACCGAGAGCACGAAGATGTACGGTATCACCGCGAGTGAGAATCTCCAGCGCCTTCGGAACTGCCTACGGGGGGAGGCTAGAGACGTCGTATCAGCCCTCCTACATACAGCGACTGAACCAGAGACAGTTATGAGAACACTGGAACAGTGCTTTGGAAGACCAGAGGTGATCATAGATCGGGCCATGGATGAATTAAGAAGAATGCCAAAGCCCACTTCATCGGCAACAGATTTGAATAGCTTCGCAGTACGTCTACAAAATATCGTGTGCGTACTGAAGAACATCGACCGAAAAGGATATCTATACAACCCGCTTCTGGCAAGAGAGGTATTAGACAAGCTGAGTCCTCACATCAAGTCACGTTGGTGCGACTATGCCAGGATACACGAAGGCACGACGGACCCGGAAATCGTAATACTATCACGGTTCTTGATGCAGGAAGCCGATGGGGCATTAAGATATACGTTTGTACCAACGCAAGGAACTATCTAGATGGAAGGTGCTGTAAGGAAAGATCCAGTGAGACCAGCCATCCTGCAAGCAAGGAAGAGGACTCCAGCGGTATACAACACCACGACGCCAGAATTGAAAGACCAGTGCGTCAACTGTGGCCAAGGACACAAACTGTATCGGTGTCCCAAATACTTAGCAATGAGCACAGAGAAAAGATGGGAATACCTGAAAGAAAAAAGGATATGCTTCAAATGTGCGCAACATCGACATCGTCTTGGAACCTGTCGCGTCGAACCATGCGGCGTTGACAATTGCGGAAGACCTCATCACGCTACGCTGCACTACACATCAGGACCGAAGCCGTCTCCACCAAAGAGGGATGAGGCCGTGCTATCGGTAACGGCGGGCAAGGAGGAAGG